CTCTCCAAAATTATACCAAGATTGCTTTCCAAAACAGTCTGGACCACGACCAGATGTATTGGTGCACAACTCACATGCGTGCACACATTGCATATGCAGGCAAACGTACTGCCTTGGTTCGTGTGCCATCCATACATGCACAAGTGCGGGATCCCATGCCTTTGGCTTGTTTGTGGCTCAAGTAAGCTTGGATTGCCTCTCGATCAATGTTTTTAATAAAACCAGTTACTAATTTTAGAAAATGTCATTTAATCAAAATACCATTGAGCTTCCCTCTCTCTTGGGATCAAATATTTGAGTTATGGCTAAAAATGGGATCATAGGTAAAATGGTAATTTTTACAAAAAGTCAATTTTTAGCTAAAACGGGGTTATATAACAACTCTAAACAACCTCAAAATATTCTAAGGATGAAACAAATACCATTTCATCATCGGGAAGCTTGCAAATGCTCGAAATCTTAAGGTTAGTCAAAATGGGATATCTACACATGGTCCCACAAAATCTCCAGCTAATAGAGATTTTGAGAGCCCTCGGAGACGTGTGGACCAGCGGGGAAGCACATTCAGCCTCTCATTGGTAGATATTCATGAAATTCCTTCAAGGACACCTTGGTTGATTTTCTCTTGGCTAATTTGCTCTTTGCTAGTTTGCCCTTCTTCAAGGACAACTTGTTCTCTCTCTCTCTCTCTCCTTAATCATTTTCTAGAGTTCTAAAATTCCTTGTTCTTCTCAAGAAGTAAATCTGATTTTGCTACAGAAAACCTAGAAATTGACGGATAAACTAGAATGTTCGCGGCGGAGGAGAAAAAGACTGAACAAAACACAAAAAAAATAAAACAGAGACAAGGATGTAAAATAAAATAACATTGAAATTTTTTCCCCAACATTACACTTTCGTGTATGTGTGTACGCACGTGCAGTGGCGGAGCCACATGGGGGACTAGAGGGGGTCACGTGCCCCCCTGGATTTTTCTCTCTCTTTTTTTTTTTTTTTTGTTTTATGAGTTTAATGATTAATTATTTCACACAACTTCATTAAAAATGTCAAGGGCATTTTTAAATTTATGAAAATAATAGTGATTGTTTTATTAAAAATGAAGTGACTACAACAAATTATATTTTTATGTATGAAAATTTTGTGAAAAAATCTCAATATAAAAGTAATATTCAACATTATTGATATGCAAATATAATTAATCTCACTATATATATATATATATATAAATTACTAGAGTGTTAATTATATTTGTATATGGAGTTCACCCTTCATATGTTGCTTTATTATTGGTTGGTGACATCATATGTCAATAATGACGTGATATTATTATTATATGAAATTTTTACTCAAATTTTGTAAAAATTTGATTTATATCTTACCATTATATAATTTATTTTACGACTTAAATATATAACTTTTTTACATTGTCCATGATACAGTAGTTATACGCAATACTTTCTTTTCGATTTTACTCGAAGTTGATTATAAAATTTTATGTGAAATACTTTTGTAACAATTTATTTAATTTTTTGTACTTAATATTAATTAAAAAATTATTATTATCTTCTTATTGCCGGTTATGAAAAAAAAATTAAAGTTGTAATTACCAAGTGCCCCTCCTCATTTAGTTTCCTGGCTCCGTCACTACGCCCGTGCAAAAATTTCACAAGAATCTCTTTTAGAACTTTACATCCTTGCATTTCTTCTTCGAGAATGGCGACTAAAAACATAAATGCAAGTTCTCTGTGGCTTCAATGGGTTTGAAATCTGACCCATACACCACTTATTTTGCTCTGAAGATCAACTGCCAGAGGCCATGAGATCATTTACAATGAACAAATTGTAGGAGATAACCTTTACGATGTAAAAAGCATTATCTTCTCTCTCCTCAATGGACATAAATAGCAACAAAGCAAGTTAAATGCCTCCGTTTACCTTCAGTTACCTTGGAACCATGAAAACTTTGTAGTTCAAGTGCAAGGACTTTTACTAATCCCTAAAAGGAGTTGCTTTAGAATTCAGGCTAGAGATTCAGCTACTATTTCCTTTTGATTGTCAAAGATCCGCCTCAGGTGTTGCACTCCATATGCTGCAGCTACTGTCGTTGAAGCCACCAACCACTACACCAACAGGTAAATTGCAATGAGTTTATTGTGTTTTTAATTCTTGAAATATATCAAACATAGGGACTAAGATCTTCAACAAGTAATAAAATCTATGAAATTTTTAAAAGAGAAAAATAGGCAGCTAAAGAAATGAATAATGCACCTCAAGTAAGCGACGTACGACTCAGTTTCTGGGCTTCCAAATTCTCATTGAAGAAGAATTGCAGCAATTAAGATCAATTGGAAAACTGTGTTAACTTGTAAAGAATCGCAATTCTCAGCAAAAACCAGAAAGATAAAAAGTATGAAGCACCAACATTTCAAAATGATTGTCTTGTCCCTGCAAGACTCTTATGGGACATGGACTGTGTCAGCTTTTTAATTATTATTTTATGTAAGACATTCTTTGGGTAATTCATAGCCATAAGTGCCCTGCGTCTGGACAGGACACCTTTGTGAGTTTTTTTTTTTTTTAAATTTTTTTTAATTCATTTATAAAACTGATTTTGGGTTAAAATAAAATATATGAAAACAAATAGGGAGGAAGTGAAAACAAATAAAAAAACACCCACATATATATTGATGTTTTTTACATCTTTGTCCTAAATTTATAATTTATGTAAGACATTCTTTGGGTAATTCATAGCCATAAGTGCCCTGCGTCTGGACAGGACACCTTTGTGAGTTTTTTTTTTTTTTAAATTTTTTTTAATTCATTTATAAAACTGATTTTGGGTTAAAATAAAATATATGAAAACAAATTGGGAGGAAGTGAAAACAAATAAAAAAACACCCACATATATATTGATGTTTTTTACATCTTCATCCTAAATTTATAATCATATATATAACAAATAAACCGATTATTTTATTTTTTCTTCCTTCCTCTCTTTTCAATCCTATCAAAAATTTCACTCAAGAGGCAATTCAAATGCATGACATGGCATGCCTTCCATTGTCAAAACACTAAACTTTCTTAGCCAATAGAAAGCTAAAAACTACCAACTTTATTGTTACATGTGTTACATGAACTCTTCTATTTTCCTCAAATTACTCATGTCCACCGGATATGACAAGAATAAGGGTGTGAGATATGTGTTCGACACCTGTACCCAATTTAAACACTCGAATCCTTTAATTTGTTACAATATATAAAGAAGAAGAAGAAGAAACACATATTTGTTAGTAAAACAATATTGTTTACCTCACATGAATTAAAGATAGAAATTTTATATTTTTTTGAATCCTATTTAATTTCTAGTATATTTCTACATAATTTACAACCTCTTATCTGAGAATATTATACAATATGCAATATAAATGTATATAAAACGAGTCCCCGTACCTATATCTAATTTTGGATATATATCCTAAGATCCTAATATTTAAGTTTATGAAAATTTGACGTTTGAGTATACACATGCACCTGATCTACTAGCACTTGATCGACTAGTACCTGAGTCTATGTAACATAAATTGCTACAACACAAATATTGATGTATATTAGAATACAAGGATTCTATACCAAATTCAATAAGACCTTGTAAGAGCATCTCCAACGATTACTCTCTTTTTTTTTATTATCAAATTTGAGTAAAGATTTAGGTTAAAAGTTTCATCTGATACTAAACGTTTCGACGCTAAATTTTCAATTTTTATCAAACAATCGCTCAACTGAGAGGACGATCGAGAGGATGTTCGGACGGTTGACCAGCAATGACAATTGGTTGGTCGTCTGGTGTACAGTAAAGTGCAACGGCTCTTTCTAAAAATTTGATGAATGTTGAAGCCTCCCTCGACTTGGTGAAACTTTTGCTTTTCCCTTTATTTGATATAAGTTTGATGCTAGGGTTGTAAGAGAAAAAAATACGTTTATTTCATCAAATTTAAGCACTCGAGATTTTTATTTTAAATAGCTTATAGGTCGTGAGACGTCTTCTTTTTAAATTTCTTGTTATGTGCGCTTTTCTCATCCTTGCCACAAACAACAACAAACAAACAAACAAAGGGGATGTTTGGGAAGAGGATTTTTGGGCTAAAATAGTACTAAAAGATAAAATAAATTAAAATAGCCAATAAGACAAAGGCTCCGTTTGGGAAGTTGATTATTTTTGTAGGCTATTTTAATTTTTGGCTGTTTTAGTAAGCTAAAATAGTTGTGTTTGGAAAGATGGTTGACTTTTTGTAATTAGATGTGATGTTTGTAAGAGAAAAAGTAAAATAATTATAAATTTGATGTGATATTTTGTCTTATTGACTATTTTAGCATATTTTGTCTTTTAGTGCTATTTTAGCAAAAAAAAGAGCCAAAAAAGCTTCTTCCCACATAAAATCCGTAATCATTTGACTTTTTCTCTCACAAATATTACATCCAACTATAGAAAAACACAACCTTATTCCCAAACACAATTATTTTAGTCTACTAAAATACCTTACAAAAATAGCCAACTTCCTAAACGAGACCAAAAAAGAAAAAAAAAGACCTGCTTCCTAGAAGAGAATTAATGGGATGATAAAATTGCTACAAAATCCTAACAATGTATAATTAACGGTTCTATCTTAGTTGACACTAGGGGTGTAACAATGGCCTGCGGCCCGTGAGCAGCCAGAAGCCCCAGAGGTGAGCCAAGCCCAGTTAGTGTCACGACCCCAACTAGGCACCCAAAGGCTTGGCATCGCAACAAGATAAAAATAAAATAATTCTAAAATTTCTGTAATAATAGCAACGGATAAATTAAATAAATTAAAATAAAATAATTGAGTACCAAAAGTTTATTAAAAAAAAAACAAAACAGTCATTTGGGCTTTTATTTTATTACAAGACTCCAATCAAAATACAGATAGTACAAAAAAAAAAAAAAAAAACACTGTGATTTTATCCCCATCTTGATCTCGCTAAACCTCATCACCTGAAAGGGGTAATAGTTATAAGCATATAGCAGAGTGACAAATATTATACTGTGAGTATAGGGGCACAAAATAGCCATGGATAGTTATTTAAGCTAAAACATTAACACAATTTAAGTTGCATAAATAAATTAATTAAGTGGTAGAAACTGAATAAATAACTATAACTACGGTACAGAACAGAACAGAACAATGATTAGTAGGGTGATAATCAGAACAAAGGTCAATGGATCCAGACAAACAGAGGACCACAAAGTGGCCAAACAGGGGGCCAATGGTTATTTAAATCCCCCAAGGAACGAGACTCTCGTGGTGGTACTTACAGAAAATAATTGTTCACAAATTCATTGTCAAATAATTTCTAAAATTTAAACAAACATATCCATGAGTTTTAATTTAAACAAATGGAGTTCAGAAAATAATCAATGTAATTGAAACATTAACCTAACCATAAAAATAAATTGTGGTAACTCAAAACATTCGTAAAATATATTATGGTAACTCAAGACATGTAGAAAACATATTATGGTAACTCAAAGTGTAATAAAACTCACTTTGCTATTATTTCCTTGTGCTCCCTCTATTTATTTGAGCCTTTCTATTTTGTTGCCTACCGCTTCCTTCCTATTTCGTTGGTTCTCTTACCTCCTATGGAGTCCCTATCTATAAGCTCTCAACTTGTTTGCCACACAAGATTCCCTAAGCCAAATATTGACACGTTGCTTTGTGCTGGCCTTAAGGAGTAATGCCACCTGTAGTGGCCTTGGGCCCTTTTTTTTTTTATATTTAATTTAACCTCATGAAGTTACCAAGGGCCAAATCAGCCTTTGGCTCAGAAGTAACCTTGGCCCACAGAAATCTAACACGGTTTTGTTGTTGTTGTTTTTTATTATTATTTATTTTATTATTATTATATATATTTTTAATAATTCTATTTATTGCAATATTGAATAAAATTTATAAATTCGGGCGTCACATTTCTCCTCTCCTTAAAAGAAGTTTGTCTCCAAACTTGATGTACCTTGGTTCTCGAAGAGGTGTGGGTACTTGTTTTGCATTTGGCTTTCAGTTTCCCATGTCGCTTCTTCGACACGATAGTTTCTCCATAAGACTTTTACGAGAGGTATAGTCTTATTTCGAAGGACCTGATCACGACGATCGAGAATCTGTACATGTTGTTCTTCATAAGAGAGGTCTTCTTGAATTTCTAGGTCCTCATAATTGACAACATGCTTTGGATCCCGAAGATATCGACGAAGCATCGAAATGTGAAACACATTATGTACATTGGACAGTTCGGGTGGAAGCGCAAGGCGATATGCCACAGGACCAATCATTTCGAGTATTTCGAATGAGCTGATTTAACGTGGGTTTAACTTTCCTCACTTTCCAAATCGGATAACCCCTTTTGTTGGTGAGATCTTTAGGAACACATGATCGCCTATTTGAAATTCTAAGTCCCGTCTCCTTGTATCTGCATAGCTTTTTTGGCAGGCTTTGGACAGTGCAAATTCGCTGTTGGATGAGTTCAATTTTATCACTTGTGATTTGCACGATTTCGGGGCCTAATAATTTTCTATCTCCGACTTCCATCCAACACAGAGGTCATCGACATCTCCTTCCATACAGTGCCTCGTACGATGCCATTCCAATGCTTGCATGGTAGCCGTTATTATAGGCGAACTCCACCAAAGGTAGATGATCATCCCAATTACCTTTGAGGTCTAGCGCACACATACACATACGTAACATATCTTCCAAAGTCTGGATTGTTCTTTCAGATTGCCTATCAGCTTGCGAGTGATAAGCCGTACTAAACTTCAGAGTGGTTCCCAAAGCTTCTTGTAACTTGTTCCAGAAGTGAGACACGAAGCGAGGGTCTCTATCAGATACAATTGAAACTGGGGTGCCGTGCAAACGAATGATTTCGTTAATGTATAAAGTGGCGAACTTAGAGAGGAAGTACATGATTTTGATTGGTAGAAAATGCGCCGACTTCGTCAATCGATCTATGATAACCCATATTGCATCATTCTTCGAGACTGATTGTGGTAGCCCGACCACGAAGTCCATAGTAATGTGCTTCCATTTCCATTCAGGAATAGGGAGTGGTTGCAACATTCCTGCAGGTCTCTGGTGTTCTGCTTTAACCCATTGACAATGCAGGTATTTGGAGACGTGCCTTGCTATGTCTTTCTTCATTCCTGTCCACCAGAAATGTTCCTTCAGATCGTGATACATCTTCGTATTGCCAGGGTGGATCACAAACCTTGAGCTATGAGCTTCTACCAATATCTTCTTCTTGAGTTTTGGAAGGTCAGATACGCAAATTCGATTATGAATTTTAGCATCCCATTGCTCATTGTGAAGTCAGGATCAGGTGTGCCTCCTTGCTCCTCATACTTTTTTTTCAAAAGTTTCTCTTCACAATGGCGGACTCTAATTTCTTCAATCAGCTCGGGTTCTATGATTATGTTGGCGAGCAGTCCATCGATCTTGCGGGGAACGAGGGTACATGCCAAACTTTTGGCCGTCTTTCGACTTAATGCGTCTGCTACTACATTAGCTTTAGCGGGATGGTGATAGATCTTTATATCGTAGTCATTCATAAATTCTAGCCATCGTCGTTGTCTCATATTCAGCTCCTTCTGTGTAAACAGATATTTGAGACTCTTCTGATCTGTGTAAATTTCACAGGTTACTCCGTAGAGATAATGACGCCAGATTTTGAGGGCGAAGATCACCGCAGCCAATTCTAAATCATGAGTTGAGTAGTTCCTTTCGTGACTCTTTAGTTGGCAGGAGGCATAAGAAATGACCTTCTCATTTTGTATGAGAACACAACTCAAACCATTGTATAAGGCATCGCTATAAATTACAAACCCTTCTGTTTCCGTAGGGAGTGCTAGTATAGGAGCTATCATGAGTCTATTCTTCAATTCTTGGAAGCAACATTCCTGTTTGTCTGTCCATTCAAAGGGTGTGTTCTTCTGAGTTAGCTAGGTCAAGGGTGATGCTATCTTTGAGAAATCTTGTACGAAGCGTCGGTAATAGCCGGCTAGACCTAAGAAGCTTCGAATCTCGGACACGTTAGTGGGTCGTGGCCAATCCACGATTGCTGCAACCTTTTGGGGGTCAACTGAGATACCGTCTTTGTTAATGACGTGACCGAGGAAGTGTACACTAGTGATCCAGAAGTCGCATTTGTTCAACTTGGCATAACGTTTGTGATCGCGTAGTGTCTGTAAAACTCTTCCCAAGTGGTGTTTATGATCTTCTGGTGATTTGGAGTATATGAGGATGTCGTCAATGAAGACAATGACGAACTCGTCAAGATAGGGTTTGAACACTCGATTCATGAGGTCCATGAAGGCTGCTGCAGCATTTGTGACGCCAAATGGCATGACGAGAAACTCGTAGTGCCCGTAATGAGTTCTGAAGGCAGTCTTTTCAATGCTTTCCGTTTTGACTTTTAGTTGATGGTAACCAGAACGCAAGTCAATTTTTTAGAATACTTGGTCTCATTGCAGTTGGTCGAACAAGTCATCGATTCATGGCATAGGGTACTGATTTTTTATGGTGACTTTGTTTAGCTCTCGGTAATCGATGCATAACCTCATCGTGCCATCCTTTTTCTTTACGAATAGTACTGGAGCTCCCTATGGTGAGGTACTAGGTCGAATGAAACCTTTGTCCAGTAGTTCCTGGAGTTGAGTCTTTGGCTCTTTTAATTCTGTTATGGACATATGGTAAAGAGCTTTTGAGATTGGTTGTGTGCCAGGTTGGGTTTCAATGGTGAATTTGATTTCTCAGTCAAACGAGGTACCAGGTAGGTCTTCAGGAAATATATCCAGGAATTCTCGAACCACAAGGATTGCATCAAGTGTGGAGGCCTCTTGTTGAGTATTGATCACCTAACAGATATAACAACAATAACCTTTTCTTAGAAGTCGTTGGCCTGTCGTGAAGGATATAACACATGGAGGGGGAGAGACTCCAGTTCCTTTGAAGACAAGCTCGAGTTGCTTTGGTGATCAGAGGAAGACCTTTTTGGCTTCATAATCAATAGAGGCATGGTTGGCAGCTAACCAATCCATTCCTAAGATCACATCAAAGGTACTAATACAGAGGGGAATCAAGTATATATGTAAAGTTTCACCTTTTAAGGATACAGTATAAGATTTGTACACATCAGCACTAAGGGTAGAATTACCAGAAGGAAAAGACACAGATAGTATGTATCCTAAGGGTTCAGGTGTTGATGCCAACTCGTAGCAAAGTGTCGGATAACAAAAGAATAAGTTGAACCAAAGTCAAAGAGAACATGGACTAAGTGACCACAGACAGAGAGTGTACCTGGCACACCATTCTCAGTAACTTCTGGGTTTCCAGGCACCAGGGCAAAGGCTCTTCCTAGACATTTTTGGTCTTTCCTCACTCCTCCAGGCACCGCGGGTTTTCGGACTGGTTCAAAAGGACCGGCTGTAGAACTGGCAAGCTTTGGACAATCTTTTAGCAAATGGCCAACTTGGCCACACCTGAAGCATGCTCCCATATCTTGATGGCATTGTCCCCAGTGAGTCCTTCCACAGGTAGAGCAAGCTGGAATGGTGCCACCTCTGGGATTTGTAGGACCTTGATTACTTGAGCTGGTTGAACTGGTTGTGCCTGTATTTACTCTCTTGGGAGGTGCGACACTGGGTCTTCTGTTATCTCTTTTCCAAAACCGCTTCCTCTGGTTTGGTTCCCCGGAGCGCAAGGCTTTAATCCCTTTTTTTGCAATGTATGCTCGATCTGCCACTTTTGAATAGGTGGGTAGTTTCAAAACCTCTAGCATTCCTTGATTTTAGCATCCAATCCTGCTTCGAATTTCCTAGCTTTTCGAGCTTCGGTGGGGATGACGTATGTCGCAAATCGAGCCAGTTGTGTGAACTTGCTCTCGTATTCGGCCACTGTCATGGTTCTTTGCCTTAGATGTATGAATTTTGCCTCTTTTTGTTCCCGCAGTGAATCTGGAAAGTATTTTTCGTAGAATACCTTCAAGAATTTGGCCCAAGTCATAATATCTTCTTTCCCCAGGGTAAGTAGCCACCATCCTTGTGCATCGTCTTTGAAGGTGAACGTAGTGAAAGTCACTTTCTGTCTTTCTGTGCAAGGTAGCGCGCAAAAAATCTTCTCCATATTTCTGACCCAAGCTTTTGTCACCAGTGGGTTTGTACTGCTGGTAAATATGGTAGGTTTCAAGTCTTGGAACTGTTTTATAGTACTTGGCTTTTCTCGTCGTTCAGGCAATCCGCTGTTAACGTTGGTTTGTAGGGCTCGCAAAAAACTAGTAATTTCTTTTTCTATGATTTGCTCCATTGGATCAGTACCACTAACTGATGATTCGGTTCCATTTCCATCATTAGCCATTACTACAAGGTGAAAACGGTTAGTGGAATTTCCTTTTTTTTGTTATTTTTTTTCTTTGAATCAATTATCATTGCAATATTATATCTGTGATTCATAACGATCCCATAATAGCACATATATCCAATACATACATCATTTACATAATACTGGTTTTATTTATACAAGGAAAAGATATTAGTACAACATACTTAGATAACGGTCAAGTGTTAGTGTCTAATCTTACTGATACAAAATTGGATTAGACTAATCACGGTCAGGTCACAAAAGGATCTCCTAGTCGGACATCTAGAAGGGACCGTTAGGCCACCACCATGAGAATTGACTCCGAAAAACCGGCCCATGAAATAACCCCGCAAACTTACTCTACATGGGGGACTCCAACTCCCACCCACTGTGCTCTATTCCAAAGCAGGTCCATACCACCTGGACTATGTAGTCAGGAACACCGTGATCATAACCCCAAAACTCCTGTCCGGTAATCTGTATTGGTACCTCCAAGTATGATGCACTGTCAGTGAAGTTCACAATTGGGGTATGGACAATGTGTTGTGAAGGAGGTGTCGTAGTGCGAATGTAGCTGCTAGGATATGTGTGTCCCCTCCTTTCTGCAGAACCTAGGGGTAGAGGTATGACCAGGAGATACGACTATTCTAGGTCCGGAGCAAGATCAACAACGTGGGTCGGCCCTATGTACCTCTCACGAGTGCTGCCTTGGCTAAGTCTCCAGAATAAGAAATCCTCAACGAGGTCGGCCTGTAAATATATGGGTCTCCCCATGAGCTGGTCAAGTATCGGCTGGGCTTGCCTGACAAGACTCTCTGAATCACCCCAGCCTTCTAATAAGTTAGAGGCCAGATGCGCTCCTTATGGCTCGAACCAAGTCAATTCTTCTTGGTGTGCCATGTCCTACAACATAGGAAAACTT